CTTCTTTATGCTTTAGTTACATGAATTTCCGGTATAAGTTTTTTGTCTTTTTGGGTCTTTTTAGCTCAAAGTAATAATATGGTCAACAACTAGTGAAGAGGAAGTTTTTGGGGTGTAAATTTCTTACTGAAATTGTCTTGTTTGAGATTCAGAATTTGGTATTTTAGATGCTAAAATTATGGTAATATTTTTTTTGGTTCATTGCTTATATTTGTTCTTTTGATTCTTATTTATGGGAAATGTTTTTTTTATGGCTAGAATAGTTACATCAAAACCAATCATGAGTAGCTTAACCGATAAGACCTTAAGAGTTTGCTTTTTGCACGTCATCAAGTCAAGTACTCTTAGAGCTATTGGAGGGTTTGCATGATTGTTACTTTTAGAGCCCCATAGGATTAGTCGAGACTTGAAGAAAAAAACAAAAACAAACTATTGATTCAGATTTTAGACTTCAGATGTTTGTCAGTTTATAAAAACAAATTGTCTTATTGATTCAGATTTCAGCATCATCTCTAATAAATCAGAAGTGAAATAAGATTTCAGATTTCAACACCTCTTAAAAAACAAACGCCACCTAAGGGCTTGTTTGTTTTCTAGAAAAAAGCTCTTCTCGGCCTCTTATGTCTGATTCTTTAAAAGGTAGGATCATTCAAACCGTTTGTTTTTTTCAATTCTTCAGATGGACTTATGTCTTATTGTTCTCTTATCTAGGTAAATCAACCTCTTATTTGCCTCTTATTGTTCTCCAAACCCTCAGCAACGACGTTTCTCAATCAATTAATCTTAATCTATCATGTCTCTCAATCGATCCTTACCAAATCGATCATGTCTGAATTGATGTATTTTAACAGGGTTTATATGTGTTAAATATCGTTAATGACATATTTTTGTTTAAATGAATGCTAATTATATAATTTAGATATAAATTTTGTAACGGTGATTAATAAATATGTAAAACTGTATAAATTTATCTATAAATTCAACACTGTAGTTTTCTAATGGGTAAAATAAACAATTTAAACATATTCAGACATTCATCACTTTATGACAAACGTTTTATTGATTCAGATTTAAGACTTCAACACCATCTCTTATGAATCAGAAGTGAAACAAGACTTCAGGCTTTAGACTTCAGCACCTCTTAAAAAACAAACATAATCTAAGTGTCTTAATATTCTATGTGATAATGATTAACAATTAAGGTTCTAGAAATATGGTTATGCATAGGAGGACAAAATACATTGACGTTAGATATCATTATCTACGCAATATGTCAATTGATAATGTTTAGTTGGTTTTTTGTGGAACTAATGATCGAGTTGTAGACATAATAACCAAACCTATGAAGTTGGACCAGTTCGTGAAGCTTAGAAATTTGCTTAGGGTTTGGTTACTTGAGGAGTAAACTAACACTGGTTGAGTGTGTCAGCTTAATTAGTGGAGGAATTTGTTGAGTTTTTCGTTGTCTTGGTATGTTGGTTTAACGGACGGTCGAAGCTTTGACCTACCTTTCAGGAATTTGTTGTTTTGTTCTGATTATTTTCCTTGATTTTATTATCTTTACGTTTCGGTCATAGGGCTATCTATAAGCCAGTTTATCTTCAATAAAAGTCATCAGAGTTGTTTTGAATTCACTGAAGTTACTGCTATGTTCTCTTTGTTCCTGTTTTCAATAGTTTGTCCTACTCAATACCATTTTTTCCTAGTTTAATGTCGTCTCGTTAAGGCACAATAAGTTTATGTTTCTCCTCGTGTCCCACATTACCAAACGCACTCTTAAAGAAGAAAGAAATACCAACTATGAGTAAAATTCTTTCTAATGATCATAGTGGAGGTTTATTATCCTCATCCAACCGTTGCCACCCATTTCTCCTCCCTACACGGTGACATGCCTAGCTTTTTTAGACGAGTTTGAAAACGTTTAATTCCTTCCCTGAACTCCTAAGAATGGATGTCCTGTCCCTTCTAATAGGGGTGCTATAGTTTCGATCACGTGTAACATTAAGTCAAAATAGGGGTATTACAGTTTTAATCACATATTCTTTTTGTTTTAAAAATCATATTTCGCAATCAGTGTTATTTTAACCATTTTGGTATATAACTAACACTAACTGCAGAGTTGTATGACATAATTCAAACTTCTATTAAAGGAGTGTATTTTTGGACACTTTTTCTAGAACTTAGAACTTATATCACCTGTATATATCATGTTGGTTCGAAAATAATTCTTTTTATGAATTCAATAAGATTCATTCCAATAATAATTAGAACAAAAACCCTGATAATTCTCACATATAGGATAATTTCCTTTTATTATTTATATTAATAAATTTTGTTGATAAAAAAACCATAAACGCACGTGCCACTTGTAATTTTCCTTCAATGTATATCAAGACTAGGAAAAAGCCCTACAAATTATGACCAACACAATCGATAGTCGATACAGCTAATAAGTAAGAGTATATGACGTTGTATATTGTCAGTAAAATATTATAATACTCCAACGAATAGGTTTGAAAAGTTTCATTCATCCAAATATATATATGATTCCGTATGTGTTTTGTTTATTAAAAATCAACGTAACGTAAGGGATGACGATACGGTTTCTTTTATAAAGAAAGTTAAAAAGTGATATGTGGGAAATGGCCATTGTGACATAAAAATTTCACTTTGTTCCCACTTGATTAATCATAAAAATGGTGATGAAATATATAATGACACTTGATAGGTAAGTTTATTGGTGGTAGAAGATGATGTATTCACCTTTTGTTAGCTATTCATTGGCTTACACCTTTGATGTAAGCTTTCACTATCCTTATGCTTGTTTATTTACTTTAAATATTTTATTTTATTTTTAATTTTTAATAGACAAAAAATATTATGATTATTGGGTTTTTTTTAATGGTTTTGATGATTTTTATTTTATATAATTACATAACATGATGATATTTGGAATCTATCTAATAACCCTTTTACAAATTTAACAAAAACATATTCAATTATATGACATTTAATGTGACGTTTTATGTTTGTAGACAATCAAATACAAATGATTTCATAACGTATGTGGCATGTAACTTATTAGTTGGTAGGTGGACAGGACGATTTTTGTCCAAATAATACAAGACAGGTTACTGTATTCGATTTTGGATCCTCTGCTAGCCTCAGCTGTTAAATGAGTAAAAAATATCCCTTTACATTGGTGTAATGGTGTCCTTCGGTTAACCAACATCTATTAGTGAACCCTCTTTTCAACGATCTATACAATCGAACTCCACTGAATCCGCACCTTGTCCTGCTCATCTTCTCTTGTGAAACCAAGCAACCTCCACCCCTTCTCTATTGCTCGTGTCCTACATCATCTCTCTCCAGAGAGCTCTAAAACCAACTATGAACTAGTTACGTCCATAATCTTTTTTCTTCTATTGTTTTAGTATTAGAGAGATATATAATACAAAATTTCCCCCTAAACAATGAATTCATATTAACTTAGATTATAAATACACACACACACATATATATATATATATATAGAGAGAGAGAGAGAGAGAGAGAGAGAGAGACTTGGAATCATGTGAGACCAAGGGTTTTTCGTAAGACCCGTAAGACCAATTATCAACTCTTGGATTAGATCTACAATCTGAACATTTATAATCACAAATTGCCACGAAACTTCTTAATAATCACAAAATTGTCACCGTGCAACTTTAGACCATTAGATTATGAGCTTATAAAGTTGATCAATGAACATAAATTGGTCTTACGGGTCTCACGAAAAACCCTTGGTCTCACGTGAATTCAACTCTATATGTATATGTGTGTGTATATATATATATATAATATTTTTAATACAAATACACACAAAAATAGAGGATACTATGTTATACTACTAGACTATTAGTTACCAACCAGTCAACCTCATTAACCTTCTTACCTTTTTTTATATTTAATTAATAAAACTTATTTTATATTAAAGTTCCCTACTTTCTTCAACTTATCCACGAGACCTAATTACTCCATTGAATACCGTAAGTTGCATTAATATAATAATACTTCAGAAAAAAGGGTTCCCATTTTGTAGAAAAGAGCTATGTATCTTGTAAATTAAGTTCACTTGTAACCATATATTCAAATACAAATTGCCTTTCAAACAAAATTCAACATGGATATAACGTTTTCGACTCAAATAGTCAAAACAAATATGTAAACATGCAATATATAGAGTGTCGTAGAGTACTTGTGTTGTATCTTCCAACGTTGATCATGAAGATGAAATGACGATAATGGTGGCGGCAATGGTGGTGGTGGGAGGAGGCGGCATATGTTAAGATGGGTTGGTGATGGTGGAGTTAGTCACGTAAACGTAAACGAAAAGGATTGATTTATATATAAGAAATTGAACACCACTTCATGTAGCTCAAAAGACGATCGGATCGGATGAGATATAAAGAAAAGAAGACCAAAAAGGAAGAAATAGAAAAACGGTGAAAAGTAAAGCTACCTTTTTGCTTGCGCATTCAAACAACTTGACCCCCATTCGCCACAATACATTAATTAATTAATGCCCACTTAATTAATTAATCATCAAATATATACTGTTGGTTAAACTTAATTAATCAGCTCTTAATATTTAAATTTTACTCCATCGAGTTGTCGTTTAGTTAGTGTCCTTTATTTTGGTGGATCCACATCTTTTCATAAATAATTAATTAATTTAACAATTTAAGGTCCAATTATTAATCACAAATTTAAACATCAACCACCCATTATATCTGAATGACGATAATACCCCTGCATGGACATCTTTTAATCATATATTGCCAATAAAATGGGAGGTGCTTGTAACCTTTCATGTCCCGTTAGACACAAAATACACACACACACATATATAATATATATATATATATATATATTAATTAGATAAATGATTAAAACAAAAAATAAAATGAAGCAACAAATATTAATAAATATAACACGAGGGGCAAACTGAATTATTCATTCATTAATAATTATATCTGATGAGCAAAACACTTGAGAGTGAATCTTAACAAAATGATTACTCTGGTTTTGACATAAACGCACCCATCGTTCTCCCAAAGCTACCATTTTCAAGAAATCACCAAAATAAAAAAGATAAAAAGCAAATTAAAAAAACCCAAATTTCCTTCCTCGACCTACGTGATTCCAATTTACAAAAACATATATAATATATGTATATATATGTGTATTAAAAGACTGGCAACGAGTGAGTTGTGATCGATGCTTTCATGCACATAATATTAGGTTTTTATTTAGTGGGTTTTGGATTGATCTTTAATAAATTTAAGGTTTTTACGTGATTAATGATGGTGGGTTTTGTTCATAGATGGTGGTAACGTTATTATTGCACGGCCATGCAGATGGGATTAACTGGTGGTGGAGCTGTTGGACGAGTAGTACTTGACGTATGTCCCCTAGTTTTTGTTGTAGCATCACCGATTCCGATCGGAGACTCTGGTTTTCTTCCCGGAGGAGTTGTCCATGGAGGTTCACAACCCTTAACCGGTTCGTAAGTTCCTTGTTACCGGTCTTAAGCCGGTTCAACTGGTTCCTCAGGTTCTCCAAGTGCTTTTGTTTTCTCATCCGGGATCTCCGGGCAGACTCACGGTTTGATATCATCCTTCTCCGCTTACGTTCGTCCACCACCACGTCTTCTTCCGGTGGGTTCATCTCTCCGTCGTCGGAGCTGTTTGTTTTTGGGGTGGAGTTGTCGGAACCAGAGCCGGAGAAGGAAAATACCGGTTCTTGTGGGGTAAAAAGAAAAGGGTTTTCTTGGGTATCCCAAGGAGTAAAACCACCGGTTTCAAAGAACCCGGCCCCATCGGAGGACAGATGGTCTCCGGCGGTGGGGAAAACTTCAGACAACATGGCCGGAAAAATTTTTAATATAGCAAGAAAGGTTAGAGAGTGAAACGGAAGAAACGATGGGTTGGGACGCCGTATTTAATGGAAATTCGTGAGGGTGTTGGTGAGGGCCCACAAGAAGCATTATTGTCAGAATTAAATTAATTAATTTAAAACTAATTGCTTTTGAGTCAGGTGGCACTTAAAAGTGGGTCCCACGTGGCTTTTGTAAAAGGATGTGGGTCCCGTAGGTTGTTGTTTCATGCTTAGTCACGAAGAAACAAAGCAGGTGGGATCCCTGTTGTACACATGGCTACTGTTCATTGGCTGCTCTTATAGGAAGCCAATGGGACGGGGAGATGCTAACGTGGTACACGTTTTAGGTTGACGCGTCAATTAGGGTAAAAATGTAACAAAAATATTTTGTGTTAATTTTTTTTATTAACCTGAATATTCAACCACCTATACGAGCCGACTAATTTCATAACAACCACCTGCTTTGTAGATAGTTAGTAGTCAGCGTATTTGAACCTGCATAACCATAAGAGGATTTTTATTTTTCTGTGGATTTGAACCTATAACCTCCAGATACTTTTGATCTTTGGAGTTAAACTCAAACCAACCAGGTACCACCCTTGTGGTTTGTCTCGAAGATTTTCACATTAACTTTTTGGAGTTAGATGCACAAATTCAAGATTCAAAAACAAAATTTATGCTGTCAGAATTGCACATAAAAGACGTTATTGGGCATGATTGATGCAATATTATTGTATGATTAAAAAGGGGGCAAATAAATGCGAATTCGTAACTAAATCAGGCAATAATAGTTGATACATTTTACTTGTACTGAATATGTTTAATTACAATCCCTGCAAGTCGGGTAATGACACGAAAGGTTTCTAAACTATCGGATATCATAAACACCTTTATTTGTTCCTTACTTGGATTGGTGTCATATATAGCTAGACAAGAATCGATTAATTAAGGATAATACTAATCAAGTTTATGTTTAAAATGGTGATTAGGGTTGTTAATTATATACATAACAAAACAAATGGCCAACATGAGGCCGACAACCCTTGCTTTTCTTCTGATTACAATTAAACCTATTTCCAAAGATTCTCCATTTAATAAATCAAGATTAGTTAATAGCAAGTAATTTCATAATTTTATTAATTAGACAATGGTCTTTATATAATTAAACTCAAAAAATAAAACATTTAAATATATCAAAAAATAACAGCAATCAAATATGATTGATTTAATTATACTACACACATATTTAAAGAGAGATGTGAGTTATTATGCAACCTTTTATATTTGTATAATTAATACAACTTAATCTCAACCGTCCATTTAATTTGATGAATATGTGATTTCATAAAAGTTTTGATTGTTTTCTAATATAAAGTATTGATCATAATTAATAAACTTTAATCATCTTTCATAAATATTCAAATCATAATAAATGAAGTCTCATCATTTCCGTTAATATTCAAATCATAAATATTCATAGAAATGATTAGAGTTCATTTATTATGATTTGAATATTTATAGAAAATGAATAAGGTTCATTAATTATAATTAATACTTTATATAAGAAACAATTAAAACTTCTATAAAAGACATATTCATCAAATTATATGGACGGTTGAGATTGAGTTGTATTGGTTGTACAAATGTAAATGGTTGTATAATAACTCACATCTCTCTCTTTATATTTATATATATATATATATATATATATATATAACACTAGCCTTGGGATCATGTGAGACCAAGGTTTTTTCGTGAGACCTATAAGACCAATTTGTTAACATTTGGATTAGATCTACAATATGAACATTCATAATCACAAAATTGTCACGAGACTTCTCAATAATCACAAAATTGTCACCGTACAACTTTAGACCATTAGATCATTAGCTTATAAAGTTGATCAATGAATATAAATTGGTCTTACAGGTCTCATAAAAAACTTTTGATCTCACGTGAACCCAACCCTATATAAGCATTAACTATTAATTATAATCTATATATTTAGAATTAGGAAAGAAGTTGAGTTAGGTGCTTAGGTTTAATTAGTTTAATATGGTAGGAGAAGCATAGCATGTGATGTGATGATGCTAAAAGTGAAAGAAATAAAAGTTGATGGTTTATTAGATTTTATATATAGGAACAACATGCATGCATGCATGCATGTTAGTCTAAACTTAATCCCAAATTCAAAGCCATTTTTGCCATTCTTCCTTTTTGCAAATTTAGGCCATATTTGGTAATAATATAAGCTTCTTATGGAAAGAAATTGTTTGATAAGTTACAAAACATCTCCTACACATTCTTTTTTATATATGAAATTAAAAATTAAAATCATTAAAAAAAATTAATTCAGTTTCAACATATTCTTTATTTTAAAGATTCGATCATTATTTTTATCACATTATAATATTCTTTAATTTTATCATCTGAATATAGTTTTAAATGAATATAAAATAATAATAATTTATCTTTATTGATGGAAATGAATAAGAATCTGTTTTCTCTCTCCTCACATCAAATTATTGAAATTTTTTAAATATGAAGTTTTCTATTCTTTTTTCTATTTAAGAGAATCTGTTGAAGCAAAATAGAGAACAAAATCTTCATTTTATTCGATTTGAGAAAATACGTGACAACTTTTTCTTTTTTTAATTTTACACTGTTATTTGGTTTATTATTTATATTTTACAAAACTTGCAAGATTAATAAATATACCAGCTAACAACCATCTTCAACTAAGGGGCCGTTTACCAAACACTTACCTGACAAGTACTTACCGGTAACACTATTATTTATTTACCGAGTAAGATTTTAGTCCAACAAAACGACATCGTATGCAGCAATTTACCCGGTAAGGGCTTAGCATGGTAAGAGTCGTTGCCCTCACTTACCAGTTAAGGCTTTTGGTTCTTGTCTCACTCTTACCGGGTAAGATTCTTGGTCCTTACATATTCATACGGTAAGGTAATGTTACTTGATAAGCACTTATCCGGAAAAGCATTTGGTAAACGATCCGTAACTGTTAATTTATTACTAAAGGTTTTTTTTTTTGCATGAGATAAGGTAAAAGAGTTCATCTAACGTGAAAAAGGGAGACAATGTAATAAATAGGGGTTTTTTAGCGATGTAACTTTTATCATTGTTATTCTTTTTATTATTTATATACAATGCCGACACATTGTACTAAAAAAAACTTGAATTTGTTATATTTATACGTAAGGATTTAATTATTTGAGAATTTTTAAAATATACAAGGTCTATGAGATCCATTCTAAACCTCTAATTTAATATAATTAATGTTATTAATTAATTAGATAATCATCATTATTTTTTAAAATAACTTCATGATTATCACTTTCTCTCTCTCCTACGTCTGTAATAACATACACATTGTACTCACAATGTAAACAACCTTAATAAATTTTTACTGCACTGTTTACAACACAAGATTCGCATTATATTCAGAAGTGGTATGTTTATATTAGTTTTATATTCACAATATGTTCATAAACGATGCAGATCTCGTAGATTTAAAATGTGTTCACAATATTTCCACATATTATAATTAAAGAGAAAATAGGAGAGGGGAGAGAGAAAAAATAGAAGAGTGGAGAGAGAAAAAATAGGAAAGAGGATAGAGAAGCAATGATAAATGCTTTAATTTATATTAGATTTATTTTTTCAACTTATTTTTTATGGTTTAAGTCGGATCTAAAAAATTAGCAAGTTCTTAAAATAAGACCCTTATATATAGGGTTAGGTTCCACTGAGAAGTCTAAAGAGATTTCCACCCGTGAATCAAAAGTAATTGAATGTCAACACTAATGAGATGAACCGAGATGCACATGTTCAATTCTCTTCTAAAGCGCAATTCATGGGTATGCATGAGATTCAAAATGATCAAGGGTTCAAATATCTTCTTACACTTCTTATTTTAACTTCCCTTCTCACATGATTCCTTCGCCTATATATATAGGGTTGGGTTCTGGTGAGGAGAGTTAAGATGAGAAGCATAAGAAGGAATCTCCACCTTTGGATGCACATTATGATAAGATGCACCAGATCAATCATCATATCAAACACAATTCAGGGGTATGTTTGAGATTAAAGATGATCAAGGGTACAAATTTCTTCTTACACTTCTAACCTTAACTTTTCTTCTCATACAATTCTTCGTCTATATATATATATATATATATATATATATATATATATATATATATATAGGCTCATTCAAGGGATAACTGATTAGTTTGTGGTAACTGTGAGATCCAATCTCAACCATATATCAACGGATAAATTAGAAAATTAGTAATTTTGGTAATTTGAATTAAAATTATAATTAAAGGGCATTTTAGGTATTTCTAAAAACTCCTCTCTCCTCTCACCTCTTACCTCTCTCCGACCTTGGATCTCCAACCTCAGATGAACATTATTCCGACCGGTACCAAGTAATCATTGTGATACACAATGTGATACCTATTGTGGTATCATTGTGATACCAACTATGATACCAACCCAAACCTTAAAAATAAAATTAAATGCATAATCTAAATTTAAGGAATACATATCGATCATCCACGTTGTGATACCCAAAATACATACAAGATGCAATGTGATACCCAATGTAGTACCAATTGGGGTACCACTGTATTACATCTTCGGTCGACCACACAAATGACCTCAGTGTGATACCCAAGCACATATATGATGCATTGTGATACCATTGAAGTATCATCGGACGACGGTGACTGGAGGACGGTGGCCAGAGGACAAATGACGGAGAGAGAGAAGAGAGGAGAGAGGAAAGTTTTAAAATACTTAAAATGTCCTTCCATTAAATTTTAATTCAAAATTACCAAAATTATAAATTTCCTAATTTATCTATTGATTTGTTGTTGAGATTGGACCTCACGGTTACCACAAACTAATTAGTTCTCATTTGATTAGGCCCCTATATATACATATATCCAATGGATTAATCCTTCAAGGGTAGAGCCTATTATCT